ATATATATTTATAAAATATAATTTTTTTTATCATATGGTATAATTATTTGACAAAGAGTGTTCAATTGACCACCTTTATGTTCACGTGACTCCGGCTCTTAGCCATTGGTACAAGTTTAATATTTCTAAAATGAAATTCTCTAAGATTTTGTTCATTAATGGTCTTTCATGTAATTAATACCAATAATTTATCAACTAATTTTTGCTATTTGAAGTATAATAATGCTAAAACAAAAAATCATCTATAAAAGATTATACCTCTTTCGCTAAGAATTTTATTTTTCTAATCTAATACCAACATTAAAACTGGGAACTTCATCCTTTACCACCTCTTTAAATCATTTTATTATCCTACCTCCAATTTTCCAATTTTTTTTTTTTTGTTCTTTTCTGATCATCAATTAGCATTTACATTTCTCCTTTTGTGCATCATACTGAGGGATCTAACCTTTTAAATTCAGACATTGTCTTTTGAAAAGGAAAAAAATGGACAAAAGGTACCAAACATTAGATGGCTAAATTGGTTAGTGCTGAAGCTCAAAATGAAGCCAAAGTTTGGATTACTACCAGAAAATGAGTCTGACATATATGAATAATGTATTTAATTTTTATACACCTTAAATCGTGTAATAAAATTTTACACTGTTAGGTCATAAAAGTAATTAGGAAAATAGTAACCTAAAAGAGCAAACTAAAAAGTAATCTGTAACAAGTTAAATTACACTGATATGGTAAAAATTCCGTTACACTATCAAATGTATATAAGTTAACTCCATAATAATCATCTTCTCCAAAGTTCAAAACCTTAATATCTGCCTTTAACTTGCAGGCCTAATCAGTGGTGGAAGCAGGAATTGGGCTCGTTTGGCTGCAAGAAATTTTTTACTTTTTTTGAATTATTTTTTACTTTTTTGAATTTTTTCAGAATCAGTATTTGGCCATGAAAATTTCAAATTTAACTTGAAGTTGAATTTCGTAAATTTTCGAAAATTTGAAGAACTTCAAAAAACTGTTTTTCAAAATTTTTCACTTCAACTCACTCACAAAAATTAAAAAACAGCTCCAAATTGTATTCCTATCCAAACGCAACTCTAATTTTCAAATACCATTTTCACTTAAATTTTTCCCAGGAATTTCACAATTCTTATGTCCAAACACCCACTATATATACATCAGTCATTAAAAATTGACTTTATATACAATATACTTTTCCACAAAAGGTTCAT